AAATACCCCTCCTCTAGATCTGATAGGCTGTAACCGGCCTTTGACCCCAAAGGCAGTTACCAGGTTCCCATTTGCATAATTGCTGCTCAGCATTAACCCTTCTGTGGATTTGGTTGCTGCTCGGCACAACTTTTCCTGTGTGGACAGTAAATGTCATTAAACACATTTTTATAAGCGGATGAATACGTGACATATGGGCGCTATAAGCAGCTTGAGTTAAAAGAGCATACAGTGGTATTTAAACTCCCCACATGTAGGATATTCCTCTGACGATATTTTCAGTGTAGGTCATATGAAATAAAAACACAAGAGAAGGCCCATAGTGCTCTCTATATTAAACAAGTGCTGGATAAAATAGGAGATGTACTTACAATTTACAGAGCAGACAAACCGCTCTGTGTAATGCGCCTGGGTGGAACAATCTCCACCATGGATTCTTTGGATGGAATAAAAGCTTCCGATGTTAGGATATGCCAGGTAAAAAAAATAAGGATAAATATAAAAGTAATTAAATTAAAGAGACTAACCAAAATATTAGTGTGAAGAAATCACTCAGTTTGTTCGTTCATTTCTTCTCTTTCTGTTTGGTAGCTGTAACTACTGAATAGAGACCACCCCCCTGGCTCGTTAACCTCAAAGCGTACTTCAATTAAGCCTTCTCCCTGTGTGGCCGCCGTTCGTATTGTCGAACGCCACATGGCTGAGAAAACAGCGGCCATCTTGTTTGTGCGAATAAAGGCAGCGGGACTTGGTCGTCGAGTGTCTGGAACTAAAATCGGACACTCGACTTCCTGAACACCAGTCCCAAACATACGAATGCTGAATCTTCGTTTCCCAAACAGCTAGGAGAGTGCTGTTCAGTACTTTTGTTCATTCGTATGAGGGGAACAATCGCTGCTAGGAGCCAGGGGGAACCATTTGTGGGTTTATTCGTTTTTTACAACTTTTCAAAATAGACCATCAAAACCACCCAAACTTGTGGAACTGTTTTGGGCAGGAGCCGTGCAGTTAGCCAGTCACATAAGACTTCCATAGAATTCGAAAACCCCTGAACTGATCTGGGTGATTTTTGGATATGTTGGTCACCCAGATCATGGCTATCAGGGGATATGATGTTTGTGGGGATACCTTATGTTTTAAGGTGTGTTCTGAAAGTTGGGCAAAATTTTACTTTTTCTGCCTGGAGATAATGAAGTTACTACTTTATCAGACTTAATTATCTCCAGGACTCGGGGAGGGAATTATATGTTTGTACTGGGAGTGTTTAACTTTTTCTCTGTTTATGATTGGTTATATGATTTATGTCTTGTGGGACGTCCCTTGCATGGGGACTTGCATAAAAGCATCATTAAAGCTCAGTTCTGTTGTACCCTTCTTCTAGACTCCGGCTGATGTTTGGGTATCTGTCTGCTTTACTAAGGGAATCTACTTGGGAAGCTGTTGTTTGTATGAGAATCGCTTATTTTATTTGCCGAATGGAGAGTTATAGTCACTGACACTCTGGCTGTTCGGGAGGAAACTACCGAATGGGTATTGGATATACTAGGTTTCCTTACAATTAGGTAGTCAGAAAAAATACTTTTATTTAGATTAAAACACAACGCGTTTCGCCACAAGGGGCTTCTTCAAGTGTACATAATATGAGCCTGGCACATGTGGGTTTATATAGGGCCCAGTCATCAAATTGAAAATAGTGTCTTATTTGACCTTTGACCCTAAATGAGGTCACATGACATGTTTCAAAGGTCAAAGGACTTATTAACAGGAAGTAGATAAACTAAAAACAATAAAAACAATGTTACATAGTTGACTCAGCAAGCATAAATTTGAGTTGGTGGTACATATGCCCACTGAGCTGTTTTTCCAGCTCAAATTTATTCTTGCTGAGTCAACTATGTAACATTGTCTTTATTGTTTTTAGTTTATTTACTTCCTGTTTATATGTCCTTTGACCTCTGAAACATGTCATGTGACCTCATTTAGGGTCAAAGACACCATTTTCAATTTGATGATTGTTTGGACCCTATATAAACCCACATGTGCCAGGCTAATATTATGTACACTTGAAGAAGCCCCTTGTGGCAAAACATATTGTGTTTTTATCTAAATAAAAGTATTTTTTCTGACTACCTAATATTTTGGTAAGTCTCTTTAATTTTAAATACTTTTATACATATCCTTATTATTTTACCTGGTGGTTTGTCTGCTCTGTAAATTGTAAGCACATCTCCTATTTTATCCAGCACTTTTTTAATATAGAGAGCACTATGGGCCTTCTCTTGTGTTTTTATTTGATATGACCTACACTAAAAATATCGTCAGCCCACCTCTGTGTAAGCCTATCTCCATGTGTTACAAGGCTATATTAGATTACCTTCCATTCCACAAATCTGCACCCGCCCGGCAATGGACTGCAGATCTGGGAACCGATGTCTCCCAAAAACAATGGGGTCACCTGTTTACCACGACCAAATACCTAATTAAGTCCGCTACCCTACTGGAACAGCAGCGGAAACTGATTTACAGATGGTATATGGTGCCAACACGCATCCACAAGATCTACCCAGATAGTTCACCACAATGCTGGAGATGTAACGAGCAAGAAGGGACGGTACTACATATTTGGTGGCAGTGTCTGACTCTCCAACTGTTCTGGTGGGAGGTCCACAATTTACTGTTGTCTCTGACAGCAAAAAACCTCCCCTTCCACCTGGCTACATACCTAGCCCTTCTCCTCAAGGAGGACCTACCTAAATTTCTACAAAAACTCATGTACAAGGTCTTATTGTTGGCCCATAGACTGATAGCCAGAGCATGGAAATCCCAGCACTGGCCCGCTGTGTCCACCCTACTGATGGACATAGACAAACAATGCAAGTATGAGCATTATTTTCGCAGACTATGGCCCCCCCTCCAAAGCTACCGAAAGGGCATGGGAAGCATGGGACGCATGGAGATTGGCACGCTCTGCAAGCCAGAGCAACCCTACTGTAACTGTAACCATAACCACAGGGAGATGAGTAGATGGGCCATGCACAAGCCCAATAGACTTGAGATAAGACCAATGAGAGGTTATGCTGTATGCACAAAATGGAATGTCATTGAAGCATATGAAATGTCGAATATGCGATTGCTGTATACCCCCTCCTTTTTTCTCTTCTGTACCCCTCCACACCCTCTTCCTTTTTGTTCGCAGAAAAGACAAAATAAACATTGTCAAATTTTTTTTTTAAAATTGTCAGAGGAATATCCTACATGTGGGGAGTTTAAATACCACTGTATGCTGTTTTAACTCAAGCTAGTTATAACTCCCATAAATATTAGTTGGCATTTCTTAACCTCAGTGTTGTCTGTGGCCATACTCCTTTAAGTTACTGCACCATTGGGCCCCTCGGGGTTTTTTTTTTCTTTCATATATGCTGATGAGGATTTGACCCAAGACGTCTTGAGAATTTCTGAAGAATATTCCTGTGAATTAGACACTTTAATTTGCCTGTTGCCCTGGTATTTTTTTCTGTTATTTATTTTATTTATTCACTTTGTTCTTGGCGCACCCTGTACTTGTTGTTTTCTGTTTTTTCAGCCCCGTTGTGTGTCTTTTACTCCTCCCAGCTCCATTGTGGGTGTCCCCCCAGCATATGTGTGTTTTTCTTTCTCCCCTTCAGCCCTTCTGTGTTCCTTTTCACTCCTAGAACCTTGTCTATTTCTCCACAGCCCACTGTGTCTCTCCACCCATCTTTTTTTGTGTGTCTCTTCCACTCCCTCCCATTGTGGTTTCTTCCACTAGACCCCTTTTGTGGTCTCTCCCACCCTCTCCCCTCCTTCAATGTCTTTTTACCTCACTCTTGAAGGGTGGCCATGCAGACCGTGTTAGAGGATTTTCTGTATCTTCTACCAGCCTGACAGGAAGTTGTTTGTTGCTCTCAGCGAGCAGCTTCCTGTCAGATCGGTGAGGATACAGAAGATTTTCTATGGGGGATCTCAATAAACCGTGGGAGTTTCTATAGATATTGTCTCATGATAAGACAGACAATCTTTTACTTGTGGTAGCTTTGCAGACAATCCTTCACTTGTGGTAGCTTTGCCTTTTGTCAAGTTTTGTCAAATTGAGGATTTACCAATATACAAAGTATACTTTGTTTTATGACCTCTTTTGGGTGTTATAATTTCCATGAAATTCCAACACAGTGTTTATGAGCATTTCATTTAAAAAATCATTTTACTGGAATATAGAGTTGAGCGGACACCTGGATATTCGGGTCCGGCGGGTTCGCCCGAACTTTGAAAAAAAGTCCGGGTTCAGGCTCGAACTTGACCCCGAACCTGAACTCATTTGAAGTCAATGGGGACCCGAACTTTTGGCCACAAAAATGCCTCTAAAAAACTCCTGGAAAGAGCTAGAGAGCAAAATGTGGATAGGGAAATCACTTAAAATAACATAAAATAACTAAAAATTTCAAATACAGCTAAGCCATAAAATAGCACTTGATGGAATCTTTGATTTTAGCTTTGGAAGAACATAAATCAAAATCTAAAGCATGGCTGTAAGGAGGATCAACAGAATTATCCATTAGAGAGAGAGTTGGAGTGCAGGGTATTCTCTTTCATTGTTCAAACTGAGCTCAACTCCTGATGCATGGAGAAAAGGCCTTCACAAGCCTCTGCTATTGTGTACATAGTTTATACTACGTGACCCATAGGTTGAGGAGGCGGTGACCGTGGTGGTGTAGGTGGAAGCGGTGGTGGAAGAGGAGGAGGAGGTAACCAACACTGTTTATATATATATATTTTTTTTTTATTTTAATTGTGGTAGCCCACAAAGTATTTGGACATACAAAAAAAGAAACATTTGCGGCCTGCGGTGCATTTCTTGCAGTCCTGATGCATGGAGAAATGCTCAACTCCTGATGCATGGAGAAAAGGCCTTCACAAGCCTCTGCTAATGTGTACCTAGTTTATACTAAGTGACCCATAGGTCGAGGAGGCGGTGACTGTGGCGGTGTAGGTGGAAGCAGCAGTGGAGGAGGAGGATGAGGTAGTCAACACTGTTTTATATATATATATATAGATATATATATATATATATTTTTTTTTTTTTTATTGGGGTAGCCCCCAAAATTTTGGGACATATCAAAAAAGACAACTCTGTTTTGCAGCGTAGCCGTTGACATTATAGTTGCACAGGCACTTTGTTGACTCTAGAGAACCTCGGGCCAATTGCACATCCCTGTGGTGGCGACTTTGCATGCGGATGTCATCCATATCAACTTTCGATGCCAGTTTCTGCGCCTACCATGGTGACCATGGGTAACAGGGAATCAGGGTTCCATTCCATACAGGGACCCTGAGAAACGGCTACCACATGCAAGAAAGGCAGCAGGCGCGCAAATGACCCACTCCTGACGCGGGAATGTAGTGATGACAAATAATAATACAGGACTCTTTAGAGGCCCTGTAATTGTAATGAGTCCACTTGAAATCCTTTAACACTGATCAATTGGAGGGAAGTCTGGTGCAGAGCCACTGACCCGTGCGTGCTGCAGCTGAAGCTCCACTATCGCCTGCTGCTGCTCGCACAGTCTCATGAGGCGGTGAGCAGGAAGGCCGAAGTTACGCTGCAGTGCAGACAGGTGAGCAGCAGCAGCATGAGAACGCCAAAAGCGCGCACAGCCGCTACAGTGAATGTCACATCCTACACTGATAGAAAAAGAAAGAAATGAAAGAGAATTGGGAGCCTTATATTGACCAGTACCTCCATATGGGGGATAACACCTGCATTAAAGTTGATATAAAGAAAAAAAGGAAGAATTGGAGGTAGCAGTACAGAATAGTGTAAACCAGGGAATAATAGTATGTCTCTTGTGATGAATCAATGAAAAAAAAAAAAAATAAGTAAAACGTCACTTTTAATTGGAAAACTTAATCCCCCTCCCCCCCCCAAAAAAAAGGCAGGGCTAGATATATACCTTGTAAACAAATCTACACACAAAAACAAAATACCACAAACAAGAAGATAAAATAGTAAAATAAAAATAAATGAAGATGATTTGCAATATCCAGAATTCGTCCAATACTAGAACCTGACTAAATTCTCAATAATGAATAAGTGTAACTGGAGTGCAATTTCTGTATGTCTTTCTATATAACGTGGATGGGCAATGGTAAGCCCCCAGGATCAGGGCTATAATGTAATAATTTGATAGTATACCACACAGTAGTAAGAATTTAAGTATTTAGTACACATTCATCCAGACAAGGAAATACCTTTTGTAATGGTTAATGTCTGATACTTTAGTATAGCTATAATCTCAGTTTGTTACTGTGATAGCAAAGTTTATCAGAACCCAGTTAAAGTATATGCGGATAGTTTCACTTATTATAATAGATAGCTGCCATTCTATTTCCTAGGTTCAAATGTGCTTGTATAGAGCAAACAGTTAACGCGCTCCCTCAGCGAAATAAATATCTCGAAGTGTTAAATCATTATATTAGCAACCCAGGTGCCCATTCACCCTGACGTGCGTTTCGCTCTTAAGCTCATCAGAATGTCACATCCTGTTCCAAGTTGCGGATCAGTCTGGTGATGGCTTCTGGTATCCAGTACTCTTTTTAGTGAAGCTGCATCAGGGTCCTGGTATGTGCGGTTACCAGACCCTGCTAATCCATTCCACACTGTGACTCCTAACTTCAACATCAGGCATACCGGGTCTCGGTTGTCCGACCGCTGCCCAGACAGTGTCTGGGTCCTGGTCACCGGACTGCCCACCTGACTGTGAAACTACGAATGGATCGTTAACTCTGGTACGGACCCGAACTTTGCAGTTTGGGTTCGCTCAACTCTATTATGGATCCTTTGATCGCTACATGTATTACTTGGATAACTGGTAATTCTCGAGCTAATACATGCCGACGAGTGCTAGGGGACGGCCGCTCTGCTTTTGCACCCTGCTTCCTCTTATGCTGTGCTGGTGCCTCTGTGCGACCAGTACCTCTTCCTCCAAACTGCACACGTCACTCGCATGACCTAGATTCCATGTGGGGTCTAGGACCTCATCATCCTCCACATCATCTTCCACCCACTCCTCAACCCTGCCCTCCTTGCTGGTATACACACTGCAGAAAGCCACAGCAGTTGGCACCTGTGTTTTTCAAGCATGTCTGCAAAAAAACATATGGAAATTGTTTTAGAATTGTATCCATGCAACAGTTTTCCCTATAAACTGACTTCTCAGTTTGACTTGTGAGGGTATTGCCCCAGAATTACAATATTGTTGAAGTACCTCTTAGCTATTGATAACTGGTTTAAATATAGCAGCTTGTTATCTGGTAGTTTCCAGTGTTCAAATATCAATCTGTTTTCTATCACTTAGATCTGTGTAACAAGTGTTGTAGGTGTGAAATAATACTACAAGTGACCGATGTAGTAAATTCAAATCAAAGTTACGCTTTGGTTTGACTCTCATATATGAAGCGCACGCCCCAAAATTTACTATTTAGCAGATTAGCACCCAGAAAATTAGAATTTTTACAACTGCACTGTAAGCACACTATTAGATGCTTCTATTTGACTCTCAGATATGAAGAGCACGCCCAAAAAGTACTATTTAGCAGTTTAGCAGCAAAACAATTAGAATGTTTACAATTGCGCTGTAACCACAGTATTTGACGCTTCTATTTGACTCTCAGATATGAAGAGCAGGCCACAAAATGTACTATTTAGCAGATTAGCACACATCATCTTCCACCCACTCCTCAACCCTGTCCTCCTTGCCGGTATGCACACTGCAGAAAGCCACAGCAGTTGGCATCTGTGTTTTTCCAGCATGTAAAGTCTGCAAAGGACATATGGAAATTGTTTTAGAATTGTATCCAGGCAACAGTTTTCCCTATAAACTGACCTCTCAGTTTGACTTGTGAGGGTATTGCCCCAGAATTACAATATTGTTGGAGTACCTCTTAGCTATTGATAACTGGTTTAAATATAGCAGCTTGTTATCTGGTAGTTTCTAGTGTAGAAAATATCAATCTGTTTTCTATCACTTAGATCTGTGTAACAAGTGTTAAAGGTGTGAAACAATATTACAAGTGACCGATGTAGTAAATTCGAATCAAAGTTACGCTTCGATTTGACTCTCAGATATGAAGTGAACACCCCAAATATACTATTTAGCACCAAAAGAAATTTGACTTTTTAAAACTCCAATGTAAGCAGCAGAATAGCAGCAAAACTATTAGAATGTTCACAACTGCACAGTAAGCGCACTAATTGACGCTTCTATTTGACGCTTCTATTTGACTCTCAGATATGAAGTGCACCGCAGGCCGCAAATGTACTATTTAGCAGATTAGCAGCAAAACAATTAGAATGTTTACAACTGCGCTGTAAGCACACTATTAGACGCTTCGATTTGACTCTCAGATATGAAGTGCACCACAGGGCCCAAAATGTACTATTTAGCAGATTAGCACCCAGAAAATTTGAATTTTTACAACTGCGCTGTAAGCACACTATTAGACGCTTCGATTTGACTCTCAGATATGAAGTGCCAGCCCCAAAATGTACTATTTACCAGTTTAGCACCCAAACAATTTTAAGTTTTAAAACTGCAATGTGACAGCAGTATTTGACACTTCTATTTGACTCTCAGATATGAAGTACACCCCACTAATGTACTTTTTAGCACCCAAAAAAATTTAAGTTTTAAAACTGCAATGTGACAGCAGTATTTGACAATTCTATTTGACTTTCAGATATGAAGTACACCCCACTAATGTACTATCCCACTAATGTTGGGGGTGGGGGGTGGGTCAGAGGCTTGACATTTTAATACAACCTTAAACCTTTCCCTATTTTACAAAAACAGAGAATATGAAAATGGCCAAGAGACCTTAATAGTGTGTCCTTTAGATAGTTTTCTTAGGTTTCAACTATGTTTTTGCTATTACAGAGAGAACCTATACAATTTGTATATTAGACTGATCCTGCTCATAAGGGCAGTTCAGATCTGAAATGCTGTCAAGTTCACTGTGCACAGAGAGATACAACAACCCTGTTTTAGTTCCAATAGTTAAAAAATAAATGTTCTAGTTCAATAGACCTGGTTCAGATGCAAAGAAAAACTGATTCACTGGTTCAGATGCAAAAAAGAACTTGGGGCTCTGCTGTCATATATTCTTCTGCACATAAAAATGTGGTTAATGGCATTTACTGTCCTGACAAGAAAAGTTGTGCCAAGTAACATTACTGTCCTGACAGGAAAGGATGTGCCGAGCAACATTACTGTCCTGACAGGAAAGGTTGTGCCGAGCAACATTACTGTTCTGACAGGAAAAGTTGTGACGAGCAACATTACTGTCCTGACAGGAAAAGTTTTTTTTTTTTGAAAATCTGTTTATTGAAGTATAACAGTGGTATCAAGTCGGCTCGCAGGCCAGGTAGAGATGCAATATTTCAGATAGCAAAAGGATAAACGTTAAGGTTCAAGGTTCAATGAAATACAAGCAAACATAACATGTCGTGAAGTGGTTTGAGGTTTCGAGTTCTTGGCTGTGTATATGCATTGTGACATCTATCCCCTGTGAAAAGGTGCAGTGGGAGTGCTTCGGCCTAATATAGTGTATCCATATATGTAGACACAGATACGTGTGTGCTCGTAACGTACCACATTACTTATCACATTCACAGCGGGCGATACAGGTATATATGTTGTAAGCAAAAAGAGAAGGGAATATACACCAAGCTATAACAAGTTCAAAGAATTTATGTACATGTGTGTATTCTCAACGTGTGGCCACTCAGGAGTCAGGCAGCGCTCGTGTTCGTAGTCCGTGTGGTTTAGGTAAAGCGAACCTAACTTATGTACATTCGCCCCCCAAGGAAGCATAGGTTAAGTCATACAACACCATGTCATAGGAAAGGGGGCTATTTGGTCTCGTGGTGAGGGTCTGCCGATTCGAGTCAGGGAAATCAGAGTGGTGATGGTTTATGGTCAGGGGTGCTGTCGAGTCTAGTCGGGCGTGTGTGCTACAGGGTCGGGGCTGGGACTTCTTCCGCATCGTGGATGCGTATGAGATAGGCTTCTGTGTGTGCAATGGCGCTTAAGTATCTTTTTCCGTTGTGATTATCAGCCCATTCCTTGTCACTTCCCGACCCTAATGCCCCCACCCATTATCTCCTCTTGTGAGTAACCATATCCCAAGATCCAAGTTAGAAGCAGAGACCGACCATTCCCCCGTGACCACCACCTGCAGCAGAGCTCGAGAGTTGTATGGTATATTTCCCTATCCCCATGCCGTCTGAGAGTCCCCGTGCCGTATGATCGCATCAATATTTGTGCCCTATCGGGGGCGACTAACTCTGTTACATGTACGTGTAGCGGTACCTATCCGTCGAGTGATACGGTGTAGGTCGCGTTCCATTCA